ATTAGGCACATAGCGCTCTACTTGAGTGCTTAGTTATGTATATAAATGGTTATGTGTGCGTGTGTGTGTGTGTGTGTGTGTGTGTTTGTGCTTTATTCAGTCGGTCAGCTTTATCGCCAGGTTTGTCCAAAAACAGCGAACAATTAGCGCAAAGCTCTCAATTGCTGAGGCATGCAAATTGAGTAGCCGCATGCGAAAATGCAAAGCAGGCAAAAGAGGCGGCAGCGCAGCAGCATCCACACAACAACAACAACAACGACGTTTGTTTGCCATGAAAACAATAATAAAATAGAGCGAGAGAAATATAGAGGGAGAGAGAGCGAGCGCCGAGTGTTTGGCATTTGCAAAACGAAAAATGGCAAACAATTTGCGCTCATTCCGGCTCGCAAATGAGTCAAACCGCCAATGGCAGCACAAAAGCACTCAATGGCACTGCGTCGGCGCTGCTCTTTGCGCTCTTTCGAGTGTAGTTTGTTGTTTCGAGAATGCTCAGAACACAGCAGCGCAGCTGGCAGCACCGCGGCTACAAGCTACAAGCTTTCAGCTGCGCTGGCATTCCACTCATTCGTCTCTGGTACGTTGTCGTTTGTGCAGGCAAGCAGCGCTCTGAGGCGCTCGAGTTTTTCCGTGTGCACTTCTAAACTGTAAATCTTAAAAAGAAAAAAGAATACTTAATCTGAAACTGGACTCGGCGACTTGGCCAAAAATTAATAAACTTTGAACAAATTCATAAAACCTAACTGCGCTGTCTTTTATTTAATTTATACCGAGCAAAACGTTTTAAAATTGTTTTTTGTTTAACTACGTCAACTTGTGCAAATAAATACAACACAGAATTTAACATAACAAAAGCAAAAAGCAATAAGTCAACAATAATAATAAACTCTATATATTTTAACTTTCGCTGTAAATAAAACTCGAAACGATTGCATTTCCGTTGTAAAATTAAATAAATAATCAAATGATATAAATTACTAAAGAAAATGTTTTGAATTACAAGGTAAAAATTTAATAAAATGCTAAAAGCTAAATTTACGTTTAAACTGTTAAAAAATTATATAAAAAAATTCAACAATAAATGAAAGAATGAACGAGAAATACGAAAATGATTTTGGCTGTTTCTGTCTTTAACGCGAAATAAAAGTTTTTTATGTTCTGTTACAAAAAATAACAAACATAAACTCAATTAAGCATTATTCAAAATATTCGTATATACTAGCTGAAACAAAATGTATATATTTTTGACAAAAATAAACTTTTATTATGCGTGGATTTGACAACGACAGAAACATACACAAACACACATAAATATATAAATATACAGCATTTTTATATGCGCTTATGTGTGAGTGTGTCAAAAAGATTATCAAAAAAAAACGAAATAAAGAAAATAAAGTAAAATAAATGTTCAACTTTCAAAGCAAGAAATTAAACATCTAAAAAATAAACTTTTTTCGTATTGGAAAAAAAAGTGCGCACGTTTGTTACACGCGTCAGCGAAAGCGAATGAAAAACAACAGCAACAACAAAAAGAACAACTGATCATAAAGTAAAGCATATTAATTAATAAACAATTACAAATGTCAAGCAAAAAGGAAAAAATAGGAAAAAAAACTTTTACACAACACTTGCACCTAACCTACAAACCGAATGCTGCTGCTGCTGCCAACGCTGCTGCAGCGGCAGTTGCAAGCGCAAAAAAAAACCCAAAAACAACAACAATAACGACATTTTTATTGCAATCTGCGTTTTAGTCGGCGCAGCGTTGGCGCTGACGTTAACGTCGCGCGACCCCCACAGCGAAACGCACGATCTGTCTACCGCTGCTGCTGCCCACTCGCTCTCTCTCTCACTCTCACTCTCTTGTGCTCGTTCTGCGTGCAGTTAGGCTCTCAGCAAAGCCCACGGCGGCGTTTCATTTTGTTTCGCTTTTGTTTTATTTATTTTGGCTATTTGGCATTTCGTTTTGTTTTTAATTTTTTTTTTCGGTTGTGTGTGTTTGTGGGGGGACAACTGCATTTGCATTTGCTTTCGCATTACATAAAATTGCTGAGCGAGTTAATTTGTTGATGAAATTTAATTGAATTGCAGCTTAATTAGCATTTAGCATCGACTTGTCAATAGACAAATATGCGCGCATGCATACATATGTACATACAATCATATGTGTGTATGTGTTTGTAGGTTCACGCCCACGCATAAGCTGGTTACACAATTCTACGTTGTGTGTGTGTGTGTGTTGTGGCCAAAATGCGTGTGTCATTTCTGCTTGTCCCACCGTTTATAGTCTACTTAATTCAGCTTCTATTAAAAACATACATACACACTTACATATGTATGTAGTTGCCTCCTTTGCCTACTGCTTTTTATTTTCATTCAATTTAATACACATTGCCTTTTATGTGCGCGCACACACGCACGCAGAGAGAGAGAGAAAAAAAACCAAAATGTTCGTCAAAAGCAATTACTGCTATTTTACGTTGAGTTGAGCTTCGCATGATGCTGCTCCGTTATTGCTCTGCAATTGAAATCAACATCAACATCAGCGGCAGCGGCAGAGACAGCAAAATCAACTACAGGAGCAGCGCAAATAAGAGCCGCATCTTCAGCCAGGCAGACAGAATTCATTTGTTTTATATTCTTTTTTTGTTCTTCTGCTCTCCACTCTCTTCCTGTCACTGTGTGTCTTCTTGTATCTGAGCGCTGTGTTGTGTGTTTCGACTCAGTTTGTTACACAATAAAATTGTTGCTTTAATTTAGTTGAATCAACTTCTTCATTCATATAGCTGTCTATGCATATATGCATATTTAAAAAAATATATTTATTTTTATTTTTTTTCGATTTGCCATTACCATTTGACGTTAACTGCATTACTAATGCACTTTTAAGTGATTATTTTTGTTGCGGCTATTTACACTTTACCCCCATCTTGTTTAGTCGCGCTCTCGCACTCTGATCACCTTTACTGCGCGCGCTCTCCCGTCACCCTCTCTTTCTGCCTATGCATAAGCAGAAAAGTGTGCCGCTGAGTGTTTGCAGTTTTGAGAATGCATAAGTGTATACACGTGCATGTGTGTGTAAAGGGAGAGACAGACCGAGAGAAACGCACTCACATCACGCGATCAATTGCTCGACTTTGACTGTGTCTACATGTGTATGTGTGTGTGTATTACACAGAGTTCAAGAGTTTAGGCGCCCTCTCGCTCTCGCGCTTATCAGCAATGCTTGAGGTGTTGCTTTCGTCACAGCTCAGCTTTAACAGGCCAACAAAGCTTCAATTAAAAGCTCAAAGGCTTAACCTTTAATTGATTTTAAGCTGCAAGCTTTTTGTTGTTGTTGTCGTTGTCTTATTTTCACTAATTTTTGGCAATTTAATTTAAAATGATGTAAGCTTAAAATCTAGGTTCGAACCGGCTGCAACCGGCGAAAAGTACATAAAAAAAAATAAAAATAAAAAAAATAGATGAAGCAATTATTTAAGTGTGTTCTCTGTTCGCTTTGCTTGTTAGCTTTGCGGCTATTGTCGCAAATGCTTTTGTCCCATTGATTGCCTTCCGGCATAGTTCTCTCCCACTCTCCTGCTTCCACTCTCCCGCTTCCTCTCTCCCGCTCGCTCACTCTACTCACTGAATGTGCCCCTATATGTACGTATGTATGCGTGTATATGCAGGTGTGTGATTGTATGGGCTGTTGCTGCTGCACCATTTGGTGTACAGTTAAGTTTCCATATTTTTCCATTGTCAACAACCGCAATTTGACATTGAATCTTCACAGTGGGGCCGGTCACTTCTGGTGCCTACCGCCTGATTCTCGAGTGCCCCTACTACGTCAATGCAACCCCACTCACTGTGACCAATACTACTGCGTATTAACTATTTCACCAGAGGGACGAGCCCCCAAAAAGGCGAAAAACAACAACAACAACAAATATATGAAAAACACTTGTTGACTTTGACTTAAAAAGTTTATAAATATTTGCTTTTGCTTGAATCATATATTATTTGTGCCTCATCATGCTCCAGGTTTCTTATACTTGTTTTTTGTTTTTATCTAAGAGTTGTAGGACGGGGTGTTCCACAAGCAAATTCACGACGGTTTCACGTGCTTAACGGCACAACGCTCAGCCGCTGCGTGCATGCACACAGCACGGCACGGCACAGCACAGCACAGCTGAGTTTGGCCGATTGTACCGTTTCTATCTTATCAATAAGCATTTGCCGGTACTGTAAAGACTATAAAGACGACTGCCAGAAACACTCTAGACTCGCTGAGTTTTCATGCCAACAGCCAGGCTACAGTCACGGGCGCAACGTATGCTGCATGATCTTCTAAGCATATATAGCATGTTAATATATTTTATATAAAATATATAGAATATATATATTCATATATATATATATGGCTCTGTTGCCATGATCTGCTGTTGGCTTATCAATTGCTATGCCAGAAAAATGTAACGCTTTAATTAGCCTGTCAGACACACCCACCAAATGCCGCTTATCGCTCGGCGACGTCGTCTTGTCTTGGCCCGGTTAATTGATAAGCCCGAGGGCGGGCTGTGGTGAGGGTTAGGGCATATTGGTAAAGCAGTTAGTAAGAAACGTCCATTTCGCGACATTTCCGCAACTAGCTTATCTGAAAGAACAGAATGAAAGAAACAAGTAAAATTTTTCCAATACTCGAAGCACAGAAACAGCTCAAAAATCAGGCTCATTAATAGTTATATTATTTAAAATAAACCTCATACTAACCAGAACTATGACACATGTACATAAATATTACAAAAGAAAATTTAATATTATATAAAAAACAATTGCAATTATTACGAATTACGCGCGTTCTTTGCTTTCGGGCTGTGGTGTAACAAACGAGTGCAATTAAAAAAAAGAAAAATAAATAGAAAAAAAGAAAAGATTACAAAAGTCAGGAAAAATAAAAAAAAAACAACTTTTATATGATTATCATTACGATACGCGCTTTGTGCATCGCCTTTTTGCAGTAATCTTGAGAACAAACATGAGATTTATTCACTTGCACAACAAACGGCGGCAAGTGAGGAACAGGAAAACAAGAAACAGCAACAACTACCTGAAACTAACAACAACGAAACAACAAACAACACTGCAACAGCAATTGATAAACAAGTTGCCGCAGAAGCAACAACAGCAACAACAACTGCAATTGCAACTTTAGAGCTAGCGGACAAACCCAAAGCGATTGAGACTGCAAACGAAAAAGCAACAATTGAAACAACAGCAACAACAACAATCACTGCACCAGCAGCAACTTCAACTGCGACTGCTGCTGCAACTAACCCACCAGCAACAACAATAACAACAACCACAACATCCAACACCTCAATAACCTCATCTTTAGATATAATATCGAAATCAAAACAACAACAAGTGCAACCCGAGCAGTTTATTAAACGTGAAAATAATTCACCTGGACCGCGAACCATCACCTCTCAGCTCCTTAGCAATTTGCGCGTCAACAACAACAACACCAACTGCAATAGCAGCAGCAACAACAACTGCGACAACTTGCTGCCTCGCGAAGAGAAACGTCCCAAATCGGTGACCGCCTCGGTCATACGCAGCACACCCCCAACCGCTGTGTGCAAGAAGAGTTTTGTTGCAGCCACTCTGCAAACGCTGCCGCCCACAACAACAACAACAGCTGCCATACTGCACTCCAGCAATCAGCAGCAACAATTGCAGCAGCAGCAGCAACAACAACAAGCACAAGATATGAATAAAGGATTCTTATCATTCGTTGATGATGGCCGAGGCTTAACAAGTAAGTAGAACAAAGCACAACAACCCAACCCACCCCACCCCACCCACTGCCCGCCCCAACACATCTAATACACACCTAATCATGACCACAACAACAACCCTTTAACGATTACATGTTGCATTACGCAAGTTGATAACCCCCCTTAACTCGAAAGGTGCGCAAAATATAATATATATGCATATATATAATATAGATAACTCTCGGCTGATAAGCGCCAGAGTTAAGTGCAGTTAGAAAACGTCATCACAATCAATTCTCAATGCCAGAGTGCAGCAATAGGTCGGTTTCATACCCCAACTTCAACTACAGATTGTGCATTGTTAGGCTCTATATAAGAGATTACAGTGCGCTGATTATACCGATAGATTAATCATGAGTATAATATCTTACTATATAAAGGTTTTGTAACCGAATATTATTTGCTCTTCCATGAAGCCCTGGTTCGTTGTAAAAAATAGGCTGTAAGGCCCGCATTTATAAAGTTAAATTTCGAACTCACTGTTTTAAATTTAGCAAACTCTTGGAGTTAATCTAAGCTATTTTTATAGTCTACGACTGAGACATAAATACTAGATGCTGAGTCTGAGGTTACAACCCGGAACCGCATTCCCTGATTGAGCGCGTCTATAAGACATATAGAATACATCAATCAAAGTCAACATTTCTAGGAAAATAACGAAAATCAATGAAAATAATGTGGTGATAAAAATAATAATTATTTATTTATCCTTGTTTTCTTATCTGTTTGAGAGTTAACAACATTCTGTTACTTTCTGCAGTCAGCCGCTATCTAAAAGTGTGACCAGAGTATGCTTACATTGTATTCTCAGTCTTTGATTTATGAATTTTGGGGGGAATTACAGAAACAATATTAGAATTTACAAATCGGTAAATGCTTTACCTTTAGAATTCTTAAATCTAAATTTCTTTTCTTTTAATGCATTTTTGAATGCATTTGTTTTTTTTTTTTTATTTTTTTTAAATGTAGAGCAGAAATCAGAAAATAGTAAATATAGTATAATGCATGTAAGATCGACAACCAATTGAATGGGAATTGAAAATGTGAATGTGAATTGAAAACAAGTTTTTTTTATTTTTCTGCTGAATGTTTATTATTTTCTGAACTGTATCGATAAATTATAAGCTTTATCAAGTGTGACCATAATAGAATTTGGTTGTTAGGATTTGGATGTTTTTATTCATATAAGAATTTTGATCAACTCGAACTGGAGTTGAATACTTTGTCAGCTTAAGAAGCTGACGCTGTATTGCACTCTGATGTCGTTTCTCTGGGAGAGTCGTATTATAGTTGGAGAAAACCATGATAAATTGTGATTTAATTAAAGCATAGAAGCAGTCAGATCTCAAATCTTAATAGTACTTACCTTTATTGCACTTACGAGCAATAAAAACATGTGTTTTATGGACATTTGTCAGTAGGAAATAAGAAATATACTAAAATACGTACACACATAAATGCGTAAGAATTTGTATTTATTTGTTGTTTGTTATTTTTTTATGCCCCATGCAAGTTGATAACCCCGTGGGGCAATTTCCCGGATCAGGAATAGTCCAAAATGTGCATTAGCCAAAGACCAAGGCTAGCTTGTGTGTGTGTGTGTATATATATATATATATATATATATAGAATGCATATTCATACGAGTCGCGCCCGTTTATAAGTAGATTCTATGTATAAAGGAAAATACTCAGGCAAGCGCTTGACGTGCGCTATTCGATGCGATTTGATGCATTGTCGTAACGTTGTGCGGCTATTAAATTGGTCAATCTGTCGCTTAGTCAGTCAGTCAGTCAGTCAATTGCTTATCACCGTTTGTGGTCGCAATTTGCGCAAATCAAACGATTTATTTGTAAAGACAACAACAGCAAATGCACAGCAGCAACAGCAACAACAACAACTACGACGACGACTGTAACAACAACAACAACAACAACAACAACAACTAGCTTGCATTTTGTAAACAAAGTGCAGCAAACTAGCCCCATACTCAGCTATGCCATAGAGAATGCAGACATACAGGCATACATACATATATACATGCATTTATATGCACATATATTCTCGTATAGTAAATGCATCAACATTTGCCGGTTGGCATTTTTTTTCCTTTCAATTTACGTGCATTTCTTGTTGTTTTTATTATTTATTTTTGTTTTTTGCTGTCATAATCGCTTAATATTACGCATACGCCGTGTTTAACCCACCAAAGCCGCAAACATTATTTTGTTTTTGCAGTGAGATTCTCTTCAGCCCGAGCATATTAGCCCAATGCCAATTAATATGTTAAGCGATATGCGGCTGTCGTCCAGTTGGTTGGCGCGTGTGGCACAGCTTCGGCCGTGGGGCTCTTCCCGAGCGCTGCCGCTTGTGACATGTGTCAGCAGCACCGACCGCCCACGCTTTCGGCCCCTGATTTTCCCCGACCACGCTGTAGGCCCCTGCTTTTCCCCGCCTACGCAGCTACCTTTTCACACTCATTCCAACTGGTGGCGCGTGTTTTTATTTTTATAGTTTTTTTTTGCTGCAGTTCGCTTGGAAACTGTCTGCAAATAGCAATTGGTTCTTTCTTGTATACCCTTTAAATATCAATTGTAGGGTATCTTCAAGTTGTGACAGGCAGTCCGATTCTTGTGAATTTATATATTATATTTTTTGATTTTGCTTGTAGTATTTTTCTATTCTCCTGACACTTATCTGACTCGGTTTACTTTTAAATCGATAAAAATCGATTTTTAACTCACCCATCTTCAGTTAGAACAACTCTGGCAGCTTTGATAAACATTTTTGTATTCCACAATGAATAATGAATAAAAAAGTTGTTTTCTGCACAATTGATAATTATCGAATATCGCCTTACAGTCGATATTTGTCGAATGTCGCTTCACAATAGATAATTATCGCATGTGGCTTCAAAATAGATAATTATCGCATGTCACTTCACAATCGCTAAGATTAGTCTTCAAAGCAATAGTTACCCATCTATATTTTAACCGATAAATATCGAAAAAAAAGTCTACAGGGCATATATTAGAGTGGCATTTGAGTATACCCCTAATTTTATCGTCCTCTATTTTAACATTTTGAATAATCTTCTTTTTCTTATCTGCACAGGGCATTTCCCAGTCGATCCACAGACCACATGCTTAGTTTTTTTTCTTCTCTGGTTTTTCTCGCATTCTGTTGACATTTTGTGCTGGCTGCAGACGCCGTACATACTTCAGTTTTTTTTCCATATTTCTTTTGCTCCCTGTTTTTTCTATATTCTTTTTTTGTTTTTGATTTTTTTTTTTTTTTTTTTGTTGAAGTGTCTATATTTATTTTGTTTTAGTGGAACGTAAATAAACAGGGAAGCACTTATTATATTTATTTTCGTTGTAGATAACCGCAAAGAATTGCTAGTTATAGGAATTTGATTTGGCCTGATCATTTGATGACTAGCGTAAATATTGTGCATTATATTCTATGATATTATCACTACTTTATATTCTGCTGGTAGTTTTCCAGATGTTCATTATCAAGTTTATCAATTGTTTTGTTTTTTCCTGGAAAGTTCACCCCTCGCGACTCGCTCTTCCATAACCCTTTCAACCTACATATTTACTATAATCTCTGTAATACTTCATTTGTTAAGTCAAATATTTGTGCAGCTCCCAAAACAGACAACATTTACTGTTGACTATCGCTAAACTATCGCTTAATTATCGCGCTCGCCGCCACGAGCCAGCCCCAATCAATTTTTTACTTTTCCACTGTCTCTTTGAGTCTGTGCTTAAAACCTCCCAATTCCGCACCCAGAACACGCGCTGCTATGCTATAAACACACGCACAAGTGAGTGCCTAATCGCGACCTCTAGAGTGCTCGAGCTCTTAAATAGGGGCGGGGACATAGCGCGGCGCTTACATAAAGATGCCATCAAATGATTTCTATACACTGTTCACAGATTGAACAAAAAAGGAGTATAAGCTACTTGCAGTGTGCATTTATTTGGCTGCTTTGCAAGCTAACAATTTGATAGTTGGCATATAAGCTCGTATATAATCGCGTCTGGTAGTGTAACAATGTTTTGCCACGCCTACCTGCGGGGGCGTGTCACAGTTTAAGAGCTAGTCAACAATTTTTGACTACTTTTACACTTCTCATATGATATTTGCCAAAGACATAGTTTGAAAAGTCGCATTATGACAGTTTTAAAGTACACAGCTGACAAGCAGACTTTGATTATCATTTCTAAAAGCTGTTACAGTGTATTGCGCAGTCGGTTGCACTCGATTGCAATTGTCAGATTTGCTGTCTGTTTTCAAGTGCTCGTGTCTTCGTTTATTCTTTTCTTTTCATATACCGTAATCCGAATTTTGATTTCGGGCTGTCACTAAACTACGTCATTATTATGTTGATCAACATCATCAACAACAACATCATCGTCATCATCATCATCATTATTGTCATCATCATTTTGGCTGGCATCATCATTATGAAGATTTATTTAAATTGAAACTGTGTCGAGTTGTTGAGCGTTGCCTGAGCCAAGTCACGCGTTAGGCAACACTCTTGTGTGCATGTGTGTGTGTGTGTGTGTGTGTGTGTGTGTGTATGTGTGTGTGTGTTCATATAACTAGTACTCGTTATTCACTGAATGGTTATTCTAGAAAACTTTCGAAATCATATTTCAAGTGCATCGAATGTGGTTCAAGTGCAGCTGCAGCTTGAGGCACGTCACGAGATGCGGCGACAGTCACTTTTCTTCTTTTTTTTTGTTTTTTATTTTTGCCACAGATCAACTAATTACCTTGTGCTTAAGTAACCCCAGCCCCGCAGCCCACTGCACGGCACACTTTAAGCTGCTAAAATTTGTTGCATTGAATGCAGTGTTTTTTTTTTGATTTATTTTTTATTTGGGGCTGCGGCCTTGCACTTTACAGTCACAATTACGAAAATTATAAAAGAAAAACAACACTTTGCTAATATTTACGAATAAGCACTTGAGTGGGCCGTTGCCATAGGCCCGGCTATGGAAGCTACTTAGCCGCATTGTATTATCGCGTGCCATAATTTCAGTTGTTGTTAATTTGTTTCTTTTTTCTCCTATTTTTGTACCCTTTTGATGTGCAGGTGGAAGAAGGCATCTTCGACCCCATATTGTTGTGTGGATAGTCGATATCGAGTCGATCAAGTCATGCATAACTCTACGCCCGGCTTGTTAAGCGAGATGAATTACTCGATATTCTCACATTAACATATTATCGATAAACATCGATTTTGAGATATGTTTTCTTAAGCGTAACTCGAAAATTAGAAGTGCTAGATATACCAAACTTGGCATGTAGATTTTCGTATATCACTTTTTAGATATCTAACCACACTCTCATTATAAAAGAAAGAGAAAAGTTATTTTGAAAGGTAGATATCTTATGATATAGGTAAACATCGATAATGATAAAAGATTTTGTCATCTAAACTTGATGATTTTTATAGGTAGCGACGCCGTGGACGTTCCCTACAAAATTGAAAAAGTAAATCAATTTTAATGCAAGAGCCTTGGGCATATGCACACTTTTGAATGCCAATAAAAATTTCATAAAGATTGGACTATAAACATCAAAGTTAATCAAGGATACAAGACTCATACATAGCGTGAGGCGCAAAAAGAAGCTAAAATGAAGCTAATGACAGCTGGTCGCTGGGTTCAGGGTATCTCCTCTTCGGGCACTACTGACTAGAGCACTCTAGTTTTTTTTTATGCCGCAAAGCGTCGTCGAGTAGCACTTGTGTGCCATAATTATAAGTTGCCCTATGGGGGGTCAGGTGCCTGGCGGCGCCCCTCTCTTGCCCTGCCCAACCTCTGTGTGTTTGCATTGTTAATTAATTTGTTTGTGCCCGCTTGTCTACAGTGTGTGTGTGTGTCTGTATGACTGTGCGAGTGAGATAGACTCTATATGGCAAGTCAAGTGCATATATCATATGTATATACATATATATCTATACGTATATATAAAGTGCATTGGAACGTTTGCCAAAGCCCTCAGCTGTTTTGTTTTCTTTATTTTATTTTTTTTGCTAAACTCCCTGCAATGGCTAATATAACTTTATCAGGTTTTTAATAGCAGTTCTGATAGTAGAAATAGGCGTAAGATTTCTTTGAAAAAGCTAAACAAAGATCTGGGCTTGGTTGGAGCATAGTAGAGTTCTATTCGAAAGTTCTTCAACTGAAGCGTTCAGTTTGATATTTACCTCTGCTGACATACGTTGGCATCAGTTGTCGTTCCCTAGAATTCTAGACATTATTATCCGAAATCTTATTTTTTATTTTTTTTTTCCCTTTTTATTTTTATTCCAATTATTTTGTTTCTTAGCTTACATTTTTTTTATATAATTATGCTCGATAAAACGAGAGTTCACCTATGCATCAAATACATAAAAATTGAAAAATTAAAAAAAATTGTTTAATTAAATTTTTAATTAATTTAATTATTTATTTACTTAATATGTATTATACGCAAACCAGGCGTTCGCTTGATCATTTCTTTGAGCATATGCTTTAATATAAATTTCGATAAATTTCTTTTTTCTAAATCCCAGACTCTTTTGTTAATATCTTTAAATATCAACAGGTTAGGTGTAAAGAAGAAGCTAAAGCTTGTGGGGTTTCGAGTACATTGATCCTATCTATATAAATCATCTAGAATTCTATTATAAAATAGCTACTAGAGCACAATTATCTTTAGAATTTTAAGAGAGTATCGTCTCGTATCTATATGAAAAGAGTTTTTTTCTATTTGTAAATATCATTAATTTTTGTAAATAGCTTTTGTTCTGATTTCCAAGTGTTTTTTCTTCTTTTAGTACCTTCTTTTAATTGTAGAGTATGTAAACTTCGTAGTGTTGCATTTGCTTTCTATTGCACTCGACTCTTGTTGTCGTTGGTCATTGAAAAAATTAAAAAATAAATAAATAAAAAAAATCGATTGATAGGTGCTCATAAATTATTAGAAAAGTTACAATTTTGTATGCATAGAACTTCAGTTAGAGATAAGATACGTGTTACGTGTATGTATGTATGTGTATACATATATGTATGTACATATGTAGGCATCTCGATCTAGGCATATCAAGTGCATAAACAACAGCCGAGTAGAGTGAAAATTCAGCAGTTTGCAACTGGTTGTAATAGGCTTAGAGTGTTGACCACATATACATACAATATATATGTATATACATACATATGTATATGCATATAGACGGCAAAGTCAGTTGAGTAATGCTATTTATATCTGCTGATAAACAATGCCGTAAATATTGCACCCCTTGCTAGTTATATACGACTATATAAACACAGATATACTTATGTATGTTTTAATTCTCCATTATTCCCATATTGTAGTTAGGTCGTGCGAGCAGTTTTATACCGGTTTCGCTGCCTTAGCCCAACCGTTCCCTATATATGAAGGTACCATATAATATACATAAACTATTTGTAGTATATATGTTTATTATGATTGTTGACTAAAGCTGCTCGTGACGCGCATCCACATCTCTGGCTGATTGCAAATGCCGATAAGGCACAACTCGCATCTCGGATCTTGCGGTTCTGGGGCCTTGACATCTGGCTAGGGTTAGGCCTCTCGCAGCCCAAGTGCATTCTAAATAATGTTTGCCATGCATTTCTATGGGTCGTACGTCAAAGCTTCATATTGCTGCCAACAGGCAACGGGCTTTATCAGCTGGCAAAACTTTTCCGATGCTGATTAATGAGGCAGTTATAGAAAAAGGAAGCAAGAAAAATAAGTGACGAAAAATAAATAAAAAAATTGGCTGTCAAAAGGCCATTAAAATCATGGCCCAAGTCTAGCAATTGTAGCACATAAATCAACAAATTTAGCAGCCGAAATAAAATAAGTGCAAACGAAAACTTTTATTAGACTCAATTGGAGAAGCTGTCAATTGAAAGAAATGAATTTTTTTTTTCGATGTCAGCCATAGCGAGTGGCGCCAGTACAGTCTGGTATGGTGTCTGCTGGCTTGTGGCTTTAATTAACAGTGACTTTTGTTTTGTTAGGCGACGTTTGTACTTAGCACCAAGTTTTGACACCTCTTTGACAACTGCACACATGCCCGAATATAAATAAATGAATTAGAATAAGAAATAAATAAATATAACTAACATATATCTTCCTTTCTCTAGTGCTGAAAGAGGAACCGGATGATTTGTCGCATCATTTGGCCAGCACCGCCTGCATACAGCTGGATGAGATGCAGCCCTTCGGCGAGATGCTGGGTCTCATGAGCTCCTGTTTGCTGCCCGATGATATCAATTCCTTGGACTCGACCACCTGCTCGACAACAGGCAGTGCGCCGCTCTATCACAACAACAACAACAACAACAACAACAGCAGCAGCAGCAACAGCTATAACAGCAGTCGCCAGAGTTTAAACACTGCAGCAAATGCGAGCTCAGCTAGCAGCAGAACTAACAGCAACAACAGCAGCAACTGCAGCAGCAGCAACAGCAATAACAACGGCAGCAGCACTTGCAGCAACAGTCAACAGCAAAGTCAGGATAACAGCAGCAGCCACAGTAACAGCCACAGCAACAGCAACAGCAGCAGCAGCAACATTGATCCGCTGTTCAATTATCGCGATGAATCGAATGACACCAGCTGCTCACAGCATTTGCACTCGCCCAAGGTGTGTAGAAGCCCGCTTGAGAAGCTGGCGATATCGGTGAATAAATTAAGACTTTTATCTTCAACTCTTACACAGACACCCGAGGACAGCAGCTTGCCCTCGCTGTGCAGCCCGAACTCTTTGACCCAGGAGGAGGATTTCTCATTTGTGGACTATGATATGCGCGCACCTTACATAGCCATGGACGATGACATGCCGCTGCTCACCGAGGGCAATGTCATGTGGGGCTCTGAGGTGGACAGCATGCAAGAGCATTTGCAGCAGTGGCAGCAGCAGCAGCAGCAGCCACAACAGCAGCAGCAGCAACAGCAGCAACAGCAGCAGCAGCAATATAACAGCTATCAGCAACAGTCTGTGCAACAGCAATCACATCAGCAACAGCAGCAACATTTTTCCAGTTCGCTGTGCTCCTCGCCTGCCTCCACAGTGTCCTCGCTGTCGCCGTCGCCCGTGCAGCAGCATCAACAGCAGCAACATTCAAATGTTTTTAGCACCGGCTCCAGCGAGCTGGCAGCAATGCTTTGCGGCAGCGGCAATGGCTCGCTCTCAATTTTGGACAATGCCCCGATCGAGGATCGTCTGCAGCAGCAGCAGCAGCAGCAGCAGGACTTTCGCAGTTTCCAGCAGTTGCAGCAGCTGCAGCTGCAAGAGGAGGAGCAACAGCAACAGCAGCAACAGTTTTTGAGCCTCAGCATTGAGTGCAAAAAGGAAAAATATGATGTTTCATTGGCCGCCAGCTTATGTCATTCGATTGAAGATGCATTTGAGAATGATTATAGCAAGGATTGTGAGTATAGCAAACGAAAGTTGATCCATCTGAAATATGCAGCAACCAGTTTGAAAATTCCTTGCTTAAAGCTACACAGAAAAGGGAAAAGGGTAAAAACTATAAAATCGAACTCTGCCCAGAATTTCATTTATAGATATTTCAGTCGGGGGCAGCAACACCTACGCGGCGTTAACAGACAGCCTGCTGCCGGCTAATTATGTAGTTGGTCTAAAGATTTTCCCTCACATTTGCCCACACACAAACACACGCATACACACAAATCTTCACACTTTTGACAATTCTTTTCTTTTTTTTTTCTTCCAACAAATACTGCATTTGGAGAGGCCTAAATTTTAGATAGCTATGCGCGTTTATTAATAGACATATACATAAATATATTTATATGTATACATTGGTATATACATATATTCACATATACATATATATAAATAAATATATATAAATATACGTATATTTATATATATATGTTTGCGCGTTTGTGTGTTTTGTAAAAATAGATGAAAACATTGCCACAAATTTTCACATTTATTTGGATTATTTTCTTCTTTAAAGACACTTACTGTGGGCATTTAAATGATATCAAGTAATATGTCAGGCCAGGTCAGCTTCTATATAGCAGATATACTCTCTATATAGCCATGCCCTATTCTCAAAATCTGTGGCTACACACAATTTCTCGGATTTCCTAATCAATCTTTGCATAGAAATGAACTGCAAATCAATATATCATAGTCTGCCGTGTATATATTATATAGCATCAGAGCTGGCATAGAAACTTACCGTCAAAAAGCGACTATTTTCAAAATTTACTTTTCTTTTTAATAGAATTTCCCAACAATCTCCTCGATGCTTAGTTTTGTTACTTCTTCTTCTGGACTTTTCTATCAAATCTCTTTAAAATCGATCAAACATTTTTCATTCGTCCAATGGAAAACTTGCTTTAGGCTTTACTGAAAATTTTTTAGACTTTATTTACTTTTATTTACGTTGGGTAAAAGTTGATTACAATTCTTAACATTTTCCAGGGTATTTAATCGTTTAATACCTCCTCTACGTGCTCAGCTCTCAATTAGTTGTCAAACCGAACTGCCGGCGAATTGGGGCTGAGAGTTAATTGATGCGGGTCTTCAAGCCCAAATAGTTTCCACAATTACCAAATAGAAGTTGTTGCTGCCAACTTAGAGAAATGCTATGTAATTTTAACACATGCCGCAGGGCGGTGACACGCCCCTTACCTGTGACACATGTCACGCAGCGCCAGAGGCAGCCGTGATTGATGCCTGTGGCAGGGACTGCGAGGGGGCTGGGGAATGGGGAAGGGGCTAGTCCCTGTCAGGGGGCAGACGCTGCCTGTCGTTTGTTTAGATCATTTTTTCGTTTTTGTTTTGGCATATAGACAGATGTCTGTGGAGTGTTTTTTTTTATGCCTAGCATAAAATAGCCATATACACATAACATATACAAAGCATATACACATATATATATATATAAATATATACCCTTTGTATTTGCTACTCATAAACAGATATTTTTCACTTTTTGGCACACACGCAAATTTTCACGAAAGAAAATAAAATTGTTGAAGATTATTATTGTTTTAAATTAGCATCAATGTCATGGGCAAGAGGAATTAATTGCTCGTCTGTTTGCCAGCAGCAGCAGCAGCAGCACGCACAATAAATTCTGGGCAACAAAATGAGACTGAATAAAAATTAAATCCATTCCAGTTAATCGTCTAGCAAATACCCTCACGAACAGCTTTGCAAGATACGTATTTGTATGTGTTTATTAAATATATATTTTAATACATCTACAAACATATGGGCAAACGTGCAATTTTTCCCCTTAGCTAGCCTGGGCGCAACAAGATTATTCTAAAATACTTTTTGGAATTCTTGTTCGATTTTATGTATATTTTTAGAGCTCAAAGATGACATTCCAATGTATTCCTATGCCGAAAAGCAAGACTATGACTTAAATATGCGGAATGTTCAGGTATACAAAAAGTAAACTATTTTGGATCTGTGTATACCGAATGACAAGCTGCATACCAAATTTGAAGACCCTATTTCTGATAATATTTCAGAAATTTTCAAAAAGCAACATCAATTTTTATCGATTTTTAGCGTGGGTAAACAAAAAGTAGAATATTTCTGTGTTTACCATAACAGAAACTACATACCAAATTTTGGTCCACTAGCTCTTATAATCTTTGATAAATGTTCAAATAACAAAATCGATTTCAATCGAATGAAATTAAACTGCGAGCTATCGATAAACGTTTTGACTGAAGCAAGTCTACTTTAGTTTCTTAGTTTGCGCAGCTCATACAGATTATCCTACAGATCATTCACACTGATGATTTTGCATCTCTGCATAACATAATAGAAGCTGCATACCAATTTTGAGGACCCCATTTCTTATAATATTTCAGAAAATTTCAAAAATGCAACATCATTTTTTGTCGATTTTTAGCGTGGGTAAACAAAAAGTAAAATATTTTTGATCTAGGCACACTAGCTTTTATAATCTTCGAGAAATGTGCAAAAAACAAAATCGATTTCGATCGATTTAAACTAAAATGTCAGTTATCAATAACAGATTGAAGAAAGTCTATGCTTTAGTCTCTTAGTTCCTGCAGTGAATACAGATGATCTGTGTTAATCATAAGAATCTCCTTTAATCTTCGAGAATTGTCCTGAAAATAAAATCGATTTTCGTCAACTTATCCAAGTTAATGCAAGCTATTGATAAAAAACGATAAAACGAATTCCGTGAAAAGTCAACGCTTTAGCCTCTTAATTCGTGCAGTTAATACAGCTGGGCAGATGGACTCGATTTGCACAACTGCAATATACCCATTCTTTTTAAGCCATTTTCAATGGGTATTTACAATATTGCTGCATATTTCATGAATTTTATTTCGCATCAACTTTCATTTTGTGCATAAATTTTAACTTGGTTATTTGTCTTTTTTGATTTGTCATTTAGCCATTTGCTGGCCCGATTTGCTGCAAATGAATGTGGCTGAGGCCAGCAACAGTCCCGCAGTTTCACCAGCGCCCAGCAAAGTGTCAACATTGCAGCTGCAGCAGCAACCCTTGCAGCTGCAACAGCCACAGTTGGAGCAGCAGCAACAGCAACAACAGAATATCATATTGAATGCAGTGCCATTGATAACCATACAAAGCAGCAAGACAATGTTGCAACAGCAGCAGCAGCAGCAATCAGAGGAGGAGTTGCAGGCGCTGATAGTGTCGGACAAGCAGCCCGCCATGAGGCTATTGAGTGCCGCCAGGGCAACCATATGCATAAGCAAGGCCACGCCAACCACAAAGGCAACGTTGCCGCAAACAATGTTGCCACAGCAGCAGCAGCAGCAGCAACAGCAGCAGCAACATGGCAGCAAGCGTCATTTAAGCAGCCAATCTGCTGCCGATTCGAAACGCCTGAAGAGCGGCACCATGACGCTAGAGGTGCAGTCCCCACAGCTACTGCAGCAGCTGATGGGCAAGGAGCAACAGCAGCAGCAGCAGCAACAACAACAACAGCAGCAACAGCAGGCAAACAAGCGGCATGCTAGCGAACGCTGGTCCACTGCAGCTGAGGCCAAGCAGCAGAAGCAACAGCAGCAGCAGCAGCAACAGTCAGAATCCGTGCTAAAGAATCTGTTGGTAAGCGGACGTGATGTTAGTGCCGGCTATTGCATTGTGCCCATGCGGCCCAAGAAGCAGCTGGCCAAGGTCTAGAGCTGGATGCGTGCAAGTGCCACAAACAAAAAACAAAAGCATAAAGTGTTGTACAATTGAACGGACAAGACCATTTCTACAATTTGTACTTTGTAAATGGAACGATTTTATAGACAAGAACACCCTCCTCCTCTTAACCACCCATCCGCCCCGACCCCCGCCCTACAACCCGGAGACAACCCAAAATCCTAAAACTAAACTTAAACGACGGCCGCTGGCGCAGCAAATGTTGCATGCAACATGCCGCCAGCAGCCAGTCAGGGCTTAGTTATAGTTGCATATATCCAATATATATATATATATATAGCGTGTATATATATATATATTTATATATGTTTAGTCTAGCTTTAGTCATAGTGTCTACCTAATAGAGTTATTGCTTAATGTTTAGTCTAATTTAAGCAGCAGCAGCAGCCGTGTGGACTTTAAAATTATAAATTTTAGTAGACTATTTAAAATAGTGTGCGACGTCGTCATTTTTAATGCATCATTGAACTAAGTGTTAAGCCTCAGTTTGTAGCGACTTTTAATTTTCCTTCTATATATATATATATTAATTTTTTTTTAAAATCAATTTTCCCACATTTATTTACGCCCCCCTGCCCTTAAATTGCTTTATTTGTTGATTTCATTTTAAGGCCATGTTGTTATATTTTGTTGAGCATCTGTAAAGAATGCTATATATTTTTATTGTACATATATATATATATATATACATATATATACCTACCACATACACATATATACATTTAATAAAGCTAGCGCATAGTTACGCATAAGTCGAGCGTTTTGGGCTACAGTGACTACCAGCAGCATCACAACCAGCAACAACTAGCAAAAGATTTAAATAATTGAAAAAAAACAAAAAATTAATCCAAAATAAAAAACAAGAAATTATTTCAAGAAAAAAAATATGTAAAAATTTTAAATGTGGCATTAACTGATTTTGTTTGATTCCTCCTTTCGTTCTTCATTTGTTTACTGTGATAGCCATATTGCGTTTTTGTTATTATTATTATTAACAAATATTTTGATTTTATTTGGTGTAATTTGTTAAATGTGTAAGCATTTTTTGACTGAGTGGCAGCAGAAGAAGCAGAGCCAGCGCCAGCTTTAAATAGAGCGTGAAATAATTGTTAAAAGAAAAAATTAATCAAGCAAAATTCGAAAATATTGCAAAATATGTCGACAGCGTTTTAATTCGAATTCAGTTTTTTCCTAATAGATCACTTTGTGTTGACAAAAAAACGAAGCGAAATGCAAATAATGTGCAAGGAGTGGCATATACCCTGTAAATTGTAAACATTGTGGAAATGATGTAGTAAAAAGAATTGAAATTCGAGCGCTGATGGTACAAAAAAAAAAATAAAGGAAAACTAAATAATTAAATTAAATTAAAACTATTAACTAGCTAAAATTAATTATAGTCAAAATGGAAAGTCAAAAATCAGGCTGTAGGCAGATTTACATAGTTATAGCTATACAATCTATACATATACCTAAAGTAAATATACCTAAGCATATAGCAAGAACTATACTATACTACTAAAAACAAAAGAAAACAAAACTAACTTAGAGTTTAAAGGCATTTCCTAGTGCAGCGTAGCGCCAGTTATCGAAGAAAATAGAATCAAATTACCTTCATTCATGTTCCGCATTTCACTTTCGCTGCAATTTCACCGAAACATGTTTCGACTACTTTGCGCGGAGCATAACAGAAATTTTAGTTTCATAAATTTTTGAAGATGTTGAAAGTAGGTTTCACATATTTCTACGAAATAGGCTTGCAAGTGAAATTAAGAACATGGCTGCATATTCAAGCAAGAGTTTTTGAGTCTAGACCATGTTGTAGTTCAACGAAATTGGTTTACTGTAAAGTTTCTTTACGCTTACAGCTTGCAGCGTTTTGGCTAGCTGCATGCTTGAATTAGTTGAGAATTCTGGGCGAGTTTGTAAGAAATTATCAAATCAACTTTTAATGAAGTCGAAAGCTGCAACATGGTTTAACTCTTTTGGCAAATAAACCAAAACCGTAACTAAAACAAAGACATAGCACAAGTTGAAGCACTCATTTGTCTTAATTTAATATTTACTTTAAGTTTCGAACACACTTAGCATAAAAGTAAAAGAAAACACAAAAAAGCGAATTATTTTGTTTATTTTACTTGGTTTCCATATCGTCTTTCATTATTTTTTGGTGTTTTAAGCTTTATTGATTTTACATAAATACTGACCACACGCTGACCCACTTTGCGTGGCTCGTTGTGTGTGGTGCGTGCCCAACAAATTATTCATTGTGACTTTAATTAAACTTTGTTTTGTGAGCGTGTGTGTGTGTGTGTGTGTGAGAGTGTGTGAGTGTGTGTTGCGTGCCTATCGCTCATTTGCGAGTGTATGTGTGTGGTGCCTATTGATAATCCCCCTAAACCACAGCCGGTGTCAGCTTTCAAATCGTAATCATAAATATCCTAGACGATATCAATTTACACGCAAAGTATATAACCAACCTGCGTAGATAAAAACCACGAAAACAAAAGAAGGAACCAACTGATCAATACTCTGTTAATTGGCGTGAAAAGAGTCTTATTTATTATTAGTTTAGCAAGTATTAAAGGTTTATTTTACATTTTTTAACACTCATGACATGTCTGTCTGTCAGCCAGTCTATCTGTCTGTCTGTCTCTCTCTGTCTTTCTGTCCATCTGGGGCTTATATACGGCTATGCATTCAAAATTTCTAAAAACCTTAGCAGATTAAACTCACAAAACCTATATACTTAAGTCACACCTTCTGAACAGCGTAAGAGCAAATAGTTACTGAGAGTTTTACAAAATGATTGTCAGCACGTGCCACATACTGGCTATTGACTGTAGTTAGGGGGCGTGGCTGTTTATAGACACCTACCTGATGCCGGGCCATTGAGTTTCGATTTCACATGCATAAAATTAACATATTTTACTGCCTATTTACAGGGGCTTTAAGGCGGCGGCTGCTGCCGCTGCCTCGTATTGATTTTACACCTCGTGCCAGAGGCCGCCAATGTGTATTTGTCCCACAGTACCATGCTGTGTCTATCCTTTAACGGCCTTTTATGTCTTTCTGTTTGCTTTTCCTTTGCCCTATTCTTTGCGCCTATTCACTTTCTTTTTCACTTTTTACGTTGAGCGCAAAGCGCACAGCTGATGCGCTCTCACTTTTACGGTGGCTTCTTGACTCAACTCGCTCTCTCTCTCTCTCGCTCTCTCTCTTTCCCGCTCTATGTCGCTCTCTCACTCTATATTTCCCTCTTTCTCTCTGTATGTATTTGATGGCCCCGTTTTTATGGCCAACACGAGCTACGCTCATTTTGTAGGCCCACACATACTCCCACGCCTGCAGTTAGTCCTTGTTTTCGTTTTCTGTAACTTTGCCCTCTTCCTGTAAATGTCAACGACTGCTGCAACATATTTCGGCTGTTACGAAATATACATAGTGCGAGTGTGCTTGTGTGCGTGTGTGCGAGTGTGCGAGTGTGGGCGTGTGTGTGGGGCACACTGCTCTTGTCTAAAATCTGCTGCCTACTTTTGTGCACAAAGAAAAATCATTTTTATATGCTTAATTTTTAATGTTCAATTATGTATTTTTCTTTTTGTTAAATGCTTTTCACAAACATCTAGAAAAATACAAAATATATAGAAAAAATGTTTTTTATTGGAAAACTTAAACCAAAACTACCTCGCGGCTACGGCAGTCAAAGAACCGTAACTACCTCTCGAAAAAAATAAACTGAAACACTCAACGATAAAAAACAAGCAATAAAAAAAAACGAGACAACTATAAAAAACCAGAGCGTGTTCTCAGCTTAACAAGTGCTGCATAGGAAATTTAACTGTTAAGTAAATATGATAAGAATCTATAAATTTGATAGACAAATTACGAAAATTGATAAGCAATCCTCAACAAAATATGAAATCCTACATGGTAGCGTTAGAAAAGTATATACATATATTAAGTAAAAACTATTTATCGTAACTAGACAAATACCAGGACAATTAAAAGAGTATTTCCTTGATAATCATTTAGAATGTCAGAGATCCCAACTGATTGCAAAATGGTGCAAGTTGAAAATATTAAATAATTATAGCCCGAAAAGACTGCGAGCCAAAAACTCTCAAAATTATTATATATATATATACAAACCAAAAAAACCAAAAAAAAAAGAAAAGAAGAAAGCCTATAATACAAATACAATATATAGTTATGTAAAAGGAGTTGCTTGTATATAGAGAAAACGAGTGGAATATGAGGGGAATGCAAAGCAAACACCAGGCATACTTTTTGCATTAGCAATTTGCCTAGCAGAAATCGACTAAAACAAAGAGATGAAAAAAACACACTTAAATATTATTCGATGTGGCTTTAACTAAACTATATTTAAAACAAAGATACGACTACACTTCTAATAAGTAAAAACCCTCAAAATCAAGTCAAATTTGTTTAGCATTAATATATACATATATAGCGACTACTCATAGATATATGCTGCATATATACATTCAAACATACTTACCTACATGCATACATATATACAAATCTATTCATATAAGATTTAGTTGAAATTTTTTCGCGTTACGTATGAGAGAGTGATCGGAAATGAGAATGGAAATGAAAATGGGCCGATGTATTACGTGAAGTAATGATATAGCTTTATCGAAACGAAGTGCAAGAGGAGCGAGTGTCATTGGTAACGAGTTCGATTTGTAACGAGTCCAGCTTGTAACGAGTGCACGTTTTAACTAGTGCAACTTGTAACAGGTCAACTCGAGCGAGTGCTGCTTGTCACGAGTGCAGCTTGAACGAATAGTATTTGTAAAAAAGAATTTGTTACGAGTGCAGCTTGCAACATGTGTAACTCAAGCGAAAACAAAGTTATATATACACAGGTT